TGACCTTTGTAGTTTGAAAGACCTGGATTGGTCGTGCATCAAAGCGGTGTGTCTTAAATCATTTCCAAGTAGGTCAGTAGAAGTCCTTTAGTTCAGGTTGCTACTGGATCCTTTTGGCAGCCAGAGTCCATCATAAGGGCAAAGTAAAAGCTCCTGGGCCCTTAATCTGTTATTCATTAAAAGTATGCTGTGTGCTTTCTTCCGAGGCAATTAGGGACTTCACATCAGTATTTGCTAAAATCTATGTTTTCACTTTGGCCTCCAGATGGTAACTGAAACCAGAATAGAACTTTATCCCTATAGCTTTTATTATCTTAAAGTTTTGGGTGTAAGTATACTAACTGTTTAGGAAAAGTTGACAAAACAAAATTATGAATCCTAAATTTAAGTAGACAATGACGACATCTCACTTCAAGACTAAGGACATCAAGATAAGAAGAAATTTTAAAATTTATAGGGTATCTGATTTCTGGACCCTCCCTTGGTATAATGTCTGAAAGTTCTAAACCCTGGTCACTATGGATCCCATCAAAGCTCCCTAAAACCACTACTGAGATAATGATAATTATCGTTTCTATCTAGAATATCCCCTAAAGGCCTCCTGTGTTCAGAGATGTGCCATTTTAATAGGTGGTAGGATCAGGCAGGCAGAGTAATCAGCAATGGGTGAATTCCTGGATGAGTTCAGAGGTCCTTGTGCTGTGGGAGGTGACACCCGGTGGGAAGAAGCCAGTCAGTGAGGGTGTGATCTGGAAGGGTGTGGCTCCCTCTTCCCTTCCTCATTTCTCTCTCTTCCCTCCCAAGACTTCCATTCTGCCATTTCTGTCTTGGAGCCAATCAAATGGTGCCAGAAAACTGCCAAAATCAACCCCTCTGCTTTAGTAGTTTTAAAAGTCAGCTATTGTGTGTCAGTGATGAGAAAATGACTTAAGACACTGCGTTCTGGCCCAGGGTAAAGCCTGTAAGACTGGTTTCCTTGCTGGACATGCTGGCATCAGCCTGTAACTCCAGCTCTCTGGCAGGCTGAGGTAGGAGAGTTCCAAGTTCCAGCCCAACCTGGGCAACTTAATGACTTGGCGAGATCCTGTCTCAAAATTTAAAAATTGAACAAAGATCAGCGATACAGCTCATTGATAAGACTCTGGTTTAATGCAGAGCAACATGTAAGTGTGCACACACACACATACACCAATCACTCAGTCAATCACCATTCTTCTGTAAAATGGCCAGTCCGATCTTTTCCCATCAGTGTTGCTCCTCTGTCTGCTCAAGCTGGAGTATTCTCCTTATTCTCTGTGTTTCCTTTGCTAAGGGTCCTGCTTAATGTTTGGCAACTCCTGTAACTGCAGAGCCTTACCAGTTTCTCCTATTTCTCAAATGAAGCTTTCTTCCGGAAAGCTTGTGCTTTATCTTTACTTTCTGTTAGCATTAAAGTAAGTACCCAGATTAGTGGTTAACACTTGCATGGATAACTGAATTCTCTTGCCCTGGATTTGGAAGCCTCATTGGCGGAGAGACAACAGGCAAGACCCACTCAACATACAAATGCACTTCACTCGTGACCTTGGATTAGCTAATCCTCAAACAACGTCAGGGGTGTTTCTGTTGAGTATGAATCTTAAAGCGAATGGAGTTAGCAGGTCTGTCCAGATCAGTCCTTTCCCATTACTTACAGCAGCTGGTCAGTGACAAGATCTTTTGCCTGGTGATGAAACTCTCAAGCATCCTTCCTTCACACCAAGCCTTGTTCATTTTACATTTTTAAAATACTCTGTTCTGTCTAAATAAATATAAATTTTCAAAAAGGGAAATATTGTGGAAGGGGACATTTTAAATTATTTATATAATTTAATCTCAATTTTATCTTGAATTTCAAGTAAAAGTTGGTTGGAATATATCAAAAGTAATAAACTTTTGTTTAATAACAGCAGAAGTCAGAGAAAGAATGTCCTCTATCTATATTGAACAATTCATGTAATTTTTGTCTGTTTATCACCAGCTTGTAGTGATACTGTAAGCCCTTACAATATTTTTTGATTAAGAAACATATTGTTTTAGAAATAAATCTTGAGATAATGATGTTTTAGATATTAATCAATATAAAATAATGTATTTGACAGCAGAATATGCTTTGGAAAGAGTGCCTCTTCTTTATTTTTCATGAAAATTCTTTATGTTCAAGTTATTTTACTTAATTTTCAGTAAATCAACATTTAGAAATTATGAGATCACTTATAAATTCCCCTTAACAGCCACCCAACAGCATTGGTATGTCTCTGTGTCTATATTTGGATAGCAAAAAATTACAGTGATACTTCATATCATGCAACCAGGGATTTGGACTTTCATTGGTAAATTTTACAGCTTTATAAGCTAATTCTATAGATCGGCTTTCTCAAATCAAAATAAACAAATCAACAGTATAGCTTTGCAACCATAACTGATGGCAGTACTGTCAATTTAATTTGAATGTGATGGAGAGAAATAATTAAACTTAATTCTCTAAGCTAATGGAATATCTGACAAAAGTGATGGGCCTCACTGACATCTGCAATGTTCAGTGAACATCAGCTTTTACAACACTGTCTATTAATACGCCATACTAGAAGTTAAATTAATGAATTTGTTTTTTTTAACCAAGAACATGAATTTCTTTATGAAACTATACTTGAAATTCTTATAGCTAATATGTGAAAATTAAATGCTTTTTAATTATCATATAAGATATACCAAGGTTTAAAAAAAATATAAGATAGTGGTTTAAATGCTAGTACATGAGTCTAGAAGTAGGTGACCTAAATCTAGTGCATCAGCTCCACATCAATAGGCAGCTTCCAGTTTGGGGTCTGAGGCTCGCTCTACAATCACTTCTTTCTAGACAAACAAGAACAAATGGTAAGAGGGAGCCCAGTTCCAGCCCTTTAATTGGCAAGGCCTAGAAATGTCACACATCACTTCTGCTCACGTCCCAGTGAACGCAGTGCCAGCCCTAACTGCAGCTCGCCCCCACCCAGGGTAGAATTCACAGCCTTTTTGTCTGGGTGGGTGACTGATTCTTCTCCACACCTGCTAACAAAAGTGCTGACCTGCACACTACCATTACCCTTTTTGATGTTTCGTCCTAAATGCAAAGCATGTTCACTTCCACAATTACAGTGAAAGCTTTGTATTTTAGTTTTTTAAAACATTTATATACCTCGATACAATTGTGCAAAGCATTTTTGCAGGTATCCCTTTGCACTAACTTCTCTCCTGTACTGTATAAAAATGATAATTCTCTCCATGAGCTTAGCATCATAGATGGACCATAATGCATGTAATGAAATATATTATTATGCTTTATAAATTTTAGATACTAATGTAAGTGAAGGATTTTCTTGGTACTTTTTATATCTATAAAATGTATTCGGTCTGTGGAAATTCTTCTAAACCTTTCAAACCACATTCATGACATTATGTAAATATCTCGTGGAATTGCATTTCTTAGCTTAAAATTCTTCGTCCTAACTCAGCATTGTACAGTAGAACTTAGGTGACCTTGGGGCGATTCGAGAGCTGCCCTGTCTGATGTTATTGTACCTGTGACCTCTGTGAGGGTTTGGAGTACTTGTAATGTGACTGAGGGGCTGCAGAACCAAACTGCAAACTTTGTTTTCTTTTAATGAATTTAAATTTAATTTAAATTTGGATAGCAACAGAGCTCCAGCCATGTCCTGCTATATCTACTCACTTACTTCCCCTGCATCTCCTCTACTGGGGTCTATTATTCCTGAAATGCCTGCCTCACGTGAATCTGAAAATTCAGCATTTATGTACTAAGTGTCTTATTCTTTAGGTGAATAAACATTTTGTGTTTTCAGTGTGAATTCAGACAGCTGAGTCAACATAACTTTGTGTAACATTTATCAAGCATATTAGGTACCATTCTGAGCCCTTAATATATAATAAATTATGTCACTACCCCAAGAAACTTACCCTGAGACAAAAGGAACTTAGATCATAACTATTATCATTTTATAAATGGGTAAATTGCCACAACAATTTAATTAGTTTTTGCCCACCATCAAGTAGATAGCAAGTGACTGAGCCAGGATCTAAACCCCAGGCAAACTGGCCTCAAATCCTACCAGCCTCTCACTCCACACTTTATTATTTCATCATCTTGGATAGTTACTTTTTAGCAGTAGTTCTTTATTTGAAACACACCACAGATGGGGCCTTCCAAGAGCATTACTGATTTATGCATAAAATAGGGGAATATATTGCCTGTGGCAAGAGGGAAGGAGAAAAGCAACTTCTTTTCCTTCTTTGTGCTCTCACACAAAGAACTCATGTTTGTTAAAAGGTGACTCAAATTGTCTCCTAACTTACCTTTACTAATTCAGCAGTAGGACTTTATTTAACCAGAATGATACTTAATAAATTAGTGGATGAATGTCAGTGGAAAGGTGCTATATGTTTGCTTCAGTTACTACAAAGGTTTATGCACTTTGTTTTCTTAGTACACTAACCAAAAGCATTTAAGGTAATCAGCTTTAACACAGGTTCATCATCTGTAAGTTAAAATTACTTAGAAGTGTACTGTCCATGATTAAGTAATCTTATCTACGATTACAGAATAAAGATACCTTTAGGTGTCTTGAAATCTATCATTTTAAGCATGCCCCCAAGCCTTTTCCAGATTGCTCATAAAATTTCTCATTTTCTAAGAAATAAATGTCTCTGTCAAGTCAAAAGTAATACGAGCACATGATGGCAAAATGAAACTTTTTAGTTTTATAAGGGATATTGCAGTACTGCAAGATTGATTTTATTCCTTATTATTTAGGTTCTCATGGTCATTTTAGGATTTGCCTTCTGGATATAATGGGAACGTTATTATACTTTTTAGAAAGGTGGGCTGCAGAGGCCTTTGGGGAGCAGAATATATTTCATATGAATTTCTTTGTCATAAAATGCTAATGTTGGTGTTCTTGTCTTTATGTCTATGCATTCTTTAGCTATGAGGATAACAGACCCTTCATCAAGTAAGAATGACCTGAATGGCTGATAAATTCCATTTATCAGTGTGGTCCCATGAACCAGCTGTCAGATCAGTACTGAAGAATCATTAGAGCTTCTGTCATTCACATTGAGGCAGAAGAGCAAACTGTGCAGGAAAATACTGTGGCACGCAACTTAGAAGCAGAATAAATAGACTGCAGGTGTATTGCTCCCCTAGAAATTCTGCTTTGCCTCTGTTAATTGGGTGTCACTTGCTTTGGTGCCGCAGTAACAGCGATTTCCTGTGGTACAGACTTGTTCCACATTGAATACTTATCTGCTTACGTTGTGGTACGTTCCTCTGTGTTAAGTATGTCCAAATTTCTGTTGGGCATTCATTTAAAATTATCTTGTGACTTAGTGGTGTATCTTTAAACGGATCTAATGAATATGAGACTACCCAATTGCAATTGATGTCAGTGAATCACTGCATTAAATATTTAAAAAGGCAAAAGAAAAAATCCTTCATAAATTAAATTTTACACATGCTAAATCATCCCTTTAAAATTTGGCGCCTATCGTTTGATTATAACCTAATTATTTATGAAAATATTTAAGTTTCTGAACCAAGCTACAAGTCTGTATTTGTCAAATAGATGTTAAAATATGGAATTTTTTCTGTATATTTTAAAATCACGTGTCCTACAAGCATAAACAAAGAGTGGCTAACTGTAGGCGAGCTTGCTGTAGACTTTCAGTTTGTTCTTCTGGTGAAGAGTCCTTTGTGTTCATTTTTCCAGTGCCATTTCACTTGCTTCTTCATTCTTTTGCTTATTATTTTCCTTGGAAATTGGAGCACATTGTAGTTTCTATCATGTAACCTTTGGGTTCGCCATGTGTTTTTTAGTGGATAATAGTTGACTTTAGTATTTCATCCTGTCATTTAAATTATCAACTTAAATAGCGATTTTGCCTCGATTTAATTATGATGATTTCCATTTTTCCTTATTCCAACTTCTATAAGAAACTCTTTTCCTTGAATATCCTCATACTTGAGAATTCAGCAATAGATAAAAGTACTAACATGTTAGATGTTTCCTAAGGCATGTTAGCAAATATACTACATGCAACAGCAAATCTTTATTTAATGTTGTACATTAAACATGTCAAATTTAGCTTGCATTTAGATTGAAATACAGTTGGTGATTGTTGTGGGAGAAAATATTTACTAAATATCATCCATTTTAGTAGGACTTTGGGACCACAGCTATCTTAAATTGTAGGGTTTTTTTTTTTTTTCTGAAAAGTATATTGAACTCAGCTTCAGATTATATTAAACGTGCAATTCTTTTGCCCTTAGTTTGCTAAGTTTTAATCCCCATAAATATTCTTTCTTTAGAGAATATAAATGAAGGACAATAGCAGACTAAAAAAAGCATTGGCACCCTATTTGAGAGAACTGTAAATGGAGAAAAAGGGATGGGCTAATGTGTGTGTAAACATTTGGACGGTTTGGTCCTGTTCTCCTGTATACTTACAAAAAAGCTAAGGGAGGGCTCAATTTCAGTTATTGGGTTCCTATCTGTAAGAAGAATTTATTTTATGTTGGTAGTAAGTACAGAGCATAACCACAAATACAGGGAACTTCTTCATCCACTTATTATTTTAAGTGGCGGCTTGGAGAATGCAGTGAGACTGAGAATTGGTCTTTCATGCTATCCTGTGCCATTCACACCACTCCATCACCATTCTGAGCTTCATCCTCTCCCTGGAGTTTGCACTTCAAAGAGATGGAGATGCCCTGGGCCTATAAGCTTCTTTTCAGCAAAGCTGCAAAATGTCCAGCCCAACATAAACCTAGAAGACAGTAATCTAAAACCTAAAAGAAAGTAAAATTGGAATGATTTTGGTAGAGAAAAATGCTTTTTCCCATCCACTGCATCTCACACTTATTCTAGATAGGTACAAAATCAGACCCACAGGGCCTTTTAAATCCATGCATGGTCTGCAACCACTGGTTCCTTCTAGAACAAGTTATATTTTTTTGTCTGTCACCATGATAGTTTTTATGAAAAAAGAGGAATTTTGGAAAAATGGGATACAAATATACCTGGTGAGGCACAAAGGGAATCCAGTCATAAATGTTATGTATCAATGAGTCCAGAGACTAACATAACCTTGTAGAAGTTTTCCTTCTGGCCATTCACCCTAATTGCATCTTCATACCATTTACATACATGCTGCACATACATGAATAATTTAAGGCACAAATCTGCTTTTACTTAAATTGATCTCTGTGTTCATAACATTTTCATTCATGTATATTTCCTCAAGCTTGATTACTTGTAGTCTCCATTCAAATCTTAAAGTACTTACACCACCTGTCTTACATTTTCTGTCAAAAAATAACTTACCGTAACATTTCTTCCGTGTCGGTATTGTTGATATAAGATAGTTGTGTTGGTTGAAGACCAATTCTCTGGTAACCCTAAATTTGCTTTTCTCTTTGCAGGTCGTGGGTTATAGGTGCAATAGCGCTTCTCTGCTTGTTAGGATTGACCTGGGCCTTTGGACTCATGTATATTAATGAAAGCACCGTCATCATGGCATATCTCTTCACCATTTTCAATTCTCTACAGGGAATGTTTATATTCATTTTCCATTGTGTCCTACAGAAGAAGGTAAGCTAGAATTCTATTTTCAAGAATAAATGGAGTGTATTTCATTATAGTAAAGCAGCTGTAACAGTCTGATATATTATCCTTGATATATTTCACTATAAGAAATAAACATTTTTTATAGCACTAAAGACAAAATACAGAATGAAAGCATAATAGTTGCTGTGTTTAATAAAAAGAAATAGCTTATGATTTGAACAATGTTCAAAAATTATTTTCTTATTGACTTGCTCTTACAGTCTTTCCATCTGTCTGACTATGGACAGACAAATTCAATTCGTGCATTAAGAAATGACTTCTCTAAAGCGGGTGCATATCATAGTATACTTCTGCTTCTTTAAAGACTATTTCCTATCACAGAGTCAAAAGTGTAAATGTTCTTTTGTACAGTAATATACATTTATAATTTTGAATCAATATTGAGTTTTTAGTAGTAGTCTATAATTGAAAGATATCTTGTACAATAACTACAAATTGAGTGAATAAATTGCTTTTTAAAATTTTTACATATTATAATGTTATACCTGCCAGGACATAAAGTTGTATTTTCAAGTAAAATTTTATCTAAAATTGTTATTGCATTTTTAAATTACAAAATTAATTTTTCACTCTTCTACTTTAAATTTTGGTTTCCATATCTCTGATCACTTTGATCCCTTGGCCAGGTTGCATTTGGTTCTCAGTTCCTCCATTGAAAACCTTCTGTCCTTTGGAGCCATGTAGGTGAGCTCCTTGTATCCCAGTTTCCTCATGTGTGACCTGGAGGTGATAAACATAAGTATGAAATATTAAAAGAAAATATTAAAAGAAATATTAAAAGGTTCTGAAAATGAAGGTGCAAGTGTAAAAATTTCTTAGAAACGAATAAGAACCATAGTTTGACTTTAAAGAACCAACACAAAGTAGGAATGTCTATCTCCAGGATATTTTATTTGAAACATCAAACCCAAGTGAGACCCAAACAGAAGTTGAGAAGATTCTCCACTTGTCAAGATAAAGAAGAAGAAAATTTTATTGTGCTTAAATTTTAAGTAGTGTTAAGTACCTAAAATGTGTTGTGATATTCAAAAACACAGGAAAGAGAAGTAGTAATGAATCAAGCCAATAAATATAGATTACAGAAAAGAAATAAAAGACTACTATAATAAATGTATTTTATTTATGTATTTATTTATTGGTAACAGGGATTGAACTCAGAACCTCGAACTTGGCAAGCAGATGCTTATGCTGCTGAGCTAAATCCCCAGACCCAAAATAGATGTATTTTAAATCTAATTACTTATAATTTACTCTATATAGCAGTTTATATTAGAATATGTGAATATTCCCAAATAGTGTATATATATTCAAAATTGCCATAGTTCAATTCAGTATATGCTATATTTCAATAATTGCCCAATGATGAGCACTCTTTGAAAAGACACAGACTAATGAAAGCTTATTCAATCTCAAAACAATAATACTTTGGTTTGCAAGCATAATTCATTCTGGATACATAGTTATAGTCCAAAACACTTGTATATCAAACCCCAATTTCCCCCTAAAGAAATAAGGAACATTTAGACGATTCATTTCCCAACTCAAATATGTTCATATAAAAGTGATTATGATATTGTAATGCAATACCAAATAATAAAATAAATATAAAGAAGAGTAAACAAGTCAACTTGAAATCCTTTGTGGCTGTTATGAAAGAGACAGAGTGGAGGGTTATTTTGCAGGATGGCTTTCACTATCGTTAATAGAATCACTGTTACCTATTAGCCCAGTGGAATCTCTTTTTCTTTCTTTCTTTCTTTCTTTCTTTCTTTCTTTCTTTCTTTCTCTCTTTTTATAGTACTAGAGACAAAAGGAATCTGTCCAATGACACTTGTTTTTCCCTTCTTTTGAAAATTTTACAAAAATATGTCGTTGCATATTTGGTAAACATCTGCTACAGCCTTATTCTGGAGGTACTTTTACAAAACTTTTACTTTTTGCCACGTTTTACACATCTCCCTAATCATATTTCAAGTGAAGGATTTCTCCACACTTTTCTCCTCCTCCTTCACAGATGCAGTCTCTTCCATAAACTCTTGGTGTTGGGAAATAATCACCCCCAGTTCTTCAGTGAGGGACGGGGGACCACAGTTTGTGTTATCATGTGACTTTTGACATCATGTGCTACTTGTATTGCAAGACATTGCTTGCTTGTCACGTTAAAATGTATTAGAAATATTCATTTGTCTTACAGAACATGTTACAAGCCACTGTTTTACTGTGCATGATTTCATAGTCATTCTGGGTGTTTGCAGTCTGTGAGAGAAAGAGTCTATGGAAGCGACCTGAAAGTGACTCACGTGGCTTCTCCTCACACCATGAGATGGGACTGATGGTACCAACCAAAGTGCGAGTGACACTAAAAGGCATACTTCAGCTTTTCTACCAGTAAAGAGGAGAAATGGGATTGTTCAGCAATGAACAGTCAGCCATGCCCGTTAAGCCTAAGTAGTAGGAACCATCTGTCTGATGAATTAAAACAGAGAAAGAAAGAAAGAAAGAAAGAAAGAAAGAAAGAAAGAAAGAAAGAAGTATAAGAGGAGTGTGAGAATCAAGGCAATGCCCTGAATTAAAAACAGGGAGAAACTTCAGAAATTGTGGTTAGCAGTGTGAAAGGCTTCCGAGAAATCCCAATAAATACTTGGGAAAGATGTCTAGATTTGGACAGAAGAAATCCGTAACTGATCTTCAGGAGAAATAGAAGCAGAGAAATGTGAGTAGAATCAGCAAGTTAAAGAGAAAAGTAACATTTATCCATGAGAATAAGAGGGTACAAGGTCATGGTAGTCACAGTCAGTGTGTTGGATTTCACTCGTTTTTATATTTTAGAGAAATTTATATTTTATAGAAATATTGTTTCTATATTGTTTTACGTTAAAGAAAGATAGTAATTATTTATGAAGCATAAAAGATATGTTTGTTCTTAACAGATAGATTAAATTGGTTGTGCTTTTTATCAGCTAACACCTATTGTAGTTTTTCTACTTATTGTTTTTGTTTTTTTTATCTTCCATAAAGACATCATTGAGATATCTAAGAATTACATTTTGATATTCACTAGAGATTTTTACTCTTCAAGACACATAAATAAGACTGAACATAAGGGCTTTGTAATATAGTTAACATATTTCATATAAGTCAAATTTATATATACATATATATATATATATATATATATATATATATAAAATTTATAATAAAGGATTACATTTAAAATTTAAATTAAGAGCATATGCAGCATCCCTAATAATTCCTCTTACCTCACAAACGTGAAATACTGATAATCTTAGTCCATTTTCTGTTGGCTTAACTGAATACCACAGTAATTTATAAATAATAGAAATACATCCAGAAGATTCTTCTGGAAGCCTGTGAGTCCATCATGGAGGTTCGGGCACTGGTTAGGGCCTCTTTGCTGCTTTATAACATGACAGGGGGCATCTCACGGTGACAGAGTAAGCAGCGGTCTCAGGTCACTCCTCCTAATTCAGTCTCACTAACTTTGTAACCTCAAACTCAGGTTCTCATGATTATGTCTCACAAGGCCCCACCTGCCATATCCTTAGCCATGAACTTGAATATTAAGTTTCAGATACATTAATTTTGGGGACATTCATTCAAACCACAGGATTGACTTTCTGGACCTTCCTGAAAAAGTTTGCTGCACTGTGGTTTAGAAACTTACCTTTGTGTAAGTTATTTATAGCAAGTAAGAAGCAAATTGTTCTTTTATCTATTCCTTGCTTTGAAATTTTGAAATTTTGGAGATACTTCATTTTTGATATAAGGAACATGGTCAACATCAGGAAATACAAAAAGTAAGAAATTGTTGTTCGTTTTTCTTCCCCAACCAAATACATCAAGTACTTGTCTTTGCAGCTACAGAAAGTCTTAGAAGATTTTTGAAAAGCCATCTATCTGAATTTTATTAATGTGCTTTTTGCTAATGAAATATTGTGATTCTTGAAACAGGAACTATTCTACAACTGGTTTTATAGGGTTATCCATAACTCATTAACAAAAATCAAATGTTTTGAGTTCTCAGTCCTTTTCTGAGTATGGATTACATGGGTTATTCAACAGTAACTCCTCTAGTTACTCTAGAAGGACTCACTTTGCTTTTATTATGCTCTCAGTTATTTTTATTTACTCTCAGAACTTCCAAAATTTTCTTATTATTGATCTCAAAATATGGAAGACATGTTTGAGTTTACTACTAGCCATACTCTCTTTCTTGTGTTCTGTATTCTAGAACAACACACTGATACCATTATCTGATTGTAGTAATTATAATGGAGTATCATGTGAAATAGATTGCATATGCAAATGCTTGAACAATCAAAGAACAGTTTATTGTAACCTAAAGAGAAACGTTTCATGGGTGCAGTCCATCATATTTTTCTTCCTTGTTTTTAAGACATACTCTTACTATTTTAAATCACAGCACAGCAAAATAAAGTCAGGACAGTGATTCGGATGGTAATGTAGCTAATGTGGGAATTGGCATCACCCGATTTCTTATTTGCTGGTTGTTTATAAAATCAGTTCAGAACATTCAATTTTTGCTGGAAAATGCAAATAGCCTGTGATGAGTTCCTGTGACTTATCCAGTATCACTTCTTTTGTGACACAGGTGGTTCTCCTGCTTTTTCCAATCTCCCTTTTCCTTTTCCTATAAAAACAAAGAAAAATGTTTTATGCTAAGTACATTAGGCAAAGCAAGGTGGGATGAGAGGAAAAGGCTGTGATCAAAGTTTAGATTCTGAGATGCTTCCTAGGTTCAGTTCAAATTACTGAGCTGTAGTCAGTATTGCTTACTGTTGTTTAGAGAAAAATTTAAGTGTTTTAAAATTCCAATTAAGGCACTTACCCTACTCTTTGTGGCTACAGAGACGGAGATAATATAGTAGGCTAATAATAATAGAAGTAACATATAATGCCCGTGTTAATATGTAATGCCAGAAAAGTGACACCTTAAAAGGAGCTTTCTCATCAACACTACCTTAGAGATGTAGACTTTTTTCACACAAGGTCTGTGGTTTAACCCTTTCACGCCTTCCTTTGCTTTCACTGTTTAACCATCTCATTGCCCTTAACAACAGCAACAGCATTCCCCAGAGTTATTTTGAGGAATTTACCTCGCAGTTTTACGCAAAACTATGACATAAAAATGTTAAGTTTCTCCACTGCACCCTGTAGGCTCACACCTCTTAGAAACATCGAAGAGAACAGACTTACTTCTTTTTAAAGTAAAACACACTGAATAAGAATGGATAACTCTGCTGATAAATTTATATGTTGTTGAGATATGTAGTATCACAGAGTGGCACAGAACAACCCATGAAAGTAGTAAATATATATATATACCCATGAAAAGTAGTCTATAAGTCTATATATAATCTACATATAGTCACCAATATATATTATCCATGAAAGTAATATATATTAGAATTATAATATATTATATTTATAATATAATTAAATTATATTTTATAATATGATATATATTATAACATAATTATATATTATATAATTATATATTATGATCAATGTTATAATAATTTTATATTATAATATAGTATATTATATTTAATAATACAAATATAATATATTATAATTATAATATAGTATATAATCTATATCTATCTCTCTGAGAGAGAGAGAGAGAGAGAGAGAGAGAGAGAGAGAGAGAGAGAGAGAGAATGCTTTTAATAGCATTTCAGAGTGGAGCAAGGCCTTTCCTCGTCTCTTACCCCCCTTTCCCGTGTTCACCACCTGACTAATACCGGTCTGTCTTTGGAAGCTTCTCTCAGCAGCCCTCACCACCCACCACCCACCAGCCTAGCTCTGCACCCGGGCCCCGGTGGGCCTTCCTTTCCACGCGGCCTTTCATGTCTTTTTCTCCATCACTGGTCTTAGCACTCTTGGGAACATTTGAAGAGATCTGAGTCCTACAGGCAAATCCAAACACCTTCTTGCTTTGATTGTGCTGTTTTTTGATGGAGTGAATTGTACAATAACAAGACATAATATTTCCATTTTAACTATTAATTTTAATGTACAATTTGCACTCCATTTTTGAAAATTTGATTATAAGTAGCATTCCTTTAAAAAGCACATTTTTACAATTTTATTTGAAATGAAGTCACATGACAGTAGTTCATTGTCAGGAGTTGTGGAAGGAAAATAAAGCTTCACTTTATCTTACGGGTTTTTAAATATCGGGCCAACGTGACAAACTTCTCCCATTTTATTGTAATTTAGGTCACTTAATGTTCATTTTTATGACCCTGTGCAATTAAATGTAGAGTGACAAAAATTTTTAAACTTGATAAAAGCCCCCATTTATATATTTCTTTGCTTGAGAATGTCAATTAAAAATGCTCAAAGAAATAAAAAAATTCATTGCTTTTTATGTATAATCTTATATTTGTACCTGGATTAAGAATTTAATTTGCTGTGTTAATTTGTTGTGTTCCTTGTATCAAAGAAATACAAATTTAAAAGTACCTTAATATATTTAGCGTTTTTTATTATAAAATTGCTACATCTTTAAGAAAACAAATCAAAGGAATACAAATTTAAAGGAAATGCTTAACCGAACACATTTCCCTTTTCAGTTTTTAAATGTCCTCTGATCGTACTTCCTTTCACCTTCCGTTATGCCTCTTCCCATCCTGCTTTCTTTTCTTTCCTCCTGAGATTTCTGCCTGAAGAACAACAGTGACAGAACTTTTGCATGGATAGGTCCTTTCTATCAAACCTGTGAAAGTAAAAAGTAAAAGTAAAAGTGAAAGTTTCAGTCTATGCTGCTTGAACTAAAAGATAGTACTATATAATATAATACTATATAATATAATATAATTCCATATAATATAAAGATAGTACTACTATAATGTTATTAGAAGTGTTTACGTGTGTATGCAAAATTCTGTTTGATATTATAAATATAATTATGCTATATTGCAAAATATATGTTCCACAGTCTTTTACCTGTGGGACAGGTAATTAATTATACGGTTGGACACTGAAATTCACCTGCTTTTTACTCACTAACAGAAGTCACTTGTTTATTTGTCGTGTAGGTGCGGAAGGAGTTTGGGAAGTGCCTGCGCACGCATTGCTGTAGCGGTAAAAGTACAGAGAGCTCCATTGGCTCAGGGAAAACATCGGGTTCTCGAACTCCTGGACGCTACTCTACAGGCTCCCAGGTACAACGCGTTTGTTCTCTGAATTACCTCTCACCCACACTCTGTTATTCATGTCTTTCTTTCTGATCGGGGGTTTTTTATCCTACATGTTTATTACATTCATAATGTGATAGTCGCCTCGATGTGATTGCTATAGGAATGATTCTGACAGAAATGGAAAGAACCAAAGTATAATAAAATTATGAAATTCAGTGCCTGCTTGCATAACAGTTAATGATCTCAGACAGCTTCTCATTAAATAACAAATGAAGAAAAAAATTTGTTCCTTGATCCAAAATTCAAAGAAAACTATTTTATATAGATGACTGTTGAGTTTATCAGTTCTTATAATTATCTTTCACTTACTGAAACTTTACATATAAAATAATATGTTCAGTACAAAACAGTTACCGTTCATATAGTACTGTGTTCTGACCAGATGATAAGCAACATGGGATAGTGAGGAACAAAACCATCACCCTCCTGCAGTCCAAGTGCCCCGTCATCGGGCCTGCACTGGACATAGCTCTGTAGTTCTGCCAGCGAAAGTTTAAACTGTAGGGACAACTGCAGGCCATTTTCCCCAGACCACAGTGTCCTTACAATGACATTTCAGAAACTCTAGGATCTGAAGAAGCCAGTCCAATAAAACACATAAAATCATGAATAAAGTTCCTGAAAAATGTTTGGGTTCAGATGTGCAGTGTGATCTTTTTCAAATTACATGTTGCAGTAGGAAAAAGTTATGTTTTCAGTGTTGTCAGCTTAATTCTTCTATGGATAGCTTAATGAAGATAGTAAGTTATAAGTCAAAACTCATTTTAACTATGAATTTATTTCTTTTATACATTTGTTTGTTGTATCTGTAATGAGAATAGTTTTCATTTGTCATTTGATGTATGTTCAATTAACTGATAAGAGTAACAGGTTAAATTGCTTTAAACAATTCTCTTCATATGCTTAGGAGGTAAATCCCTTGTGTGCCTTAGAAATAATTCACCAAATAAATGCCCATACTTACCTCAGACTCATCTACTGTGCAGCTGGATGGTCAGTTATGCACACCTAACTAGCCCTGAAACAGCCCTTATAAATAAAGATACCGAACATTTTTGTAAATGTTTTCTTCAAACTTAATGGAACTCTCTTTTGTTTTACAAATAAAATCATATCTCTAATCTCAATCTATTTTCAACTCAAATTTTGACAACACTTAGCTGTCAATCACCACATAAGATGCCAGACATCTTAAGTAACTTAGCAACCATGAATGATGAGATTTATTCCTAAATATAATGTGCAATTGTTATCAATTTGAATTGGATTTATAATGAAGTTTCATCATAAAGTAGAAATTTAGAGGCAGCAGATAGATATATGACGTGAATGAGCAGAGACTTCTTAGTCCAGAACGACTGAAGTAGTTCTGAGCCCAGAACTTCTAAATTCGGTAATCAGAATTTTAAATTTGCATACAAAAATGGGAGCCTATCAGAATGAGTCTTCCAGAAAAAGTTCTTTGTATAGCACGGGCCTTTATTTTCAAACTGGCGATCCTTTGCATCAGTTTGCCATACTTATAACCTTTCAATGTTAAATCAGAATTGCTGAGACTCTTAGACCTTGCCTGTTTTTAACAGCACTGCACTCACTAGTCACCATCCGATAGTCATTTGATTGATGAATGTCATTAATGGGAAAATGATATCAGGAGTTTTCATTACAGGGTTACAACAGAGTTGTACATGTAGGAGCAGTTCTCAAGAATGAGATCAAACCGTGAAGTTTAATAAAATATCAATAAACTTCATGGTGAATACACGTTGGCTTGAATTCTATCTTTCACATGTACCAAATGTGGCACAGTGTGTGTTTTAATTTCATTGTCACTTTTTTTGTTTCCCTTGTAAAATGTTAGTGAAGCCACAAATTTCTTACATTGTTAGGATGATTGAGCTAACATAACACAAAACAGTTAAAACAGTCAGTACTCAATAAATCGTAGTCACTACCATTTATTAGTGTCATTATAGAATGTAATCTCATACATTTTTCTTCAAGCTGTACTATATTTTTTCTTCATCATTGTGAAGAAAATCACAGTTTCACTCTTGGAAAAAAATTTACAGAGCTAATATAACTGACTTAATATAATGCTAAAATAATATATTGCAGTACTAATTCTGATTAAATATGACAACATAATCCACTGGAAAGGATAGTTGCTTAACTCACCAATTTAGATTAAATTAATAACTATATTTTATAATAATTGTGACCTTTCATAAACCATCCTAAAATATTTACTATTATAAAAGCATGATTTGGGGAATATGGTTGCATACTTAACATCAAAAAACTTCTAAAAAAGCAATCTCTGTGTATCTCACTGGATTTATTTAGATAGATTGAGGGCTTCCTGTATAATGCCAAAAGTCTTGAAAGCTCTGAGGATAAAGTGTTCAGAGCAGATAACTTATGATTTGGAGTTTTCATGCTAGTACCAGCAAACAAAACATTAGCAAATACCAAGAAAAACATAAGATTGTGACACCATATGAAAAAGCTAATTATAGTGATATAAAGTATCCAGATGACTGTTTGGGTGAAGTGCTGGAGAAAGCCTGCCTTTGCAGGTGATATTTGTTTATGCCGATGCCTGTTTGATGATAGGCTACAAACAGGAAAAGAGTCCAGAAGGAACCAGTGTCCATGAGAGGACAATGATTGCAAAGCTCTTTGAGTAGGGGAGAATTAGCAAATAAAGAAGAATGAGCTTAATGACATTCAGAGAGAGAATGCAATGGAAAGTGAACAGGGAAGGTGAACTATGGAACTATGAGTGAACTGAGATTTGATTCTGATGACTTTGCGAAGTCAGTGGCATGATTCGGGGAAGTGATGGCACTGTCCACATGTAGAAAAGATTGTGTGGCCATGTGTAGCTTTTAGAGGCACACGATTGGCAAGACTCAAAAGTGGAAACCATTTCCACCTGAACTTCCTTCCTGGTGCCAATCGCTAATACGTTACTGATAGTATACAAAATCACACAAACAAAATTTCGACAGAAATGTGTATAGCTTTTTCTATATGTGGACTGAAAGATTGTCCTCATTTTGACTAACGTATAATTGAGCTGTCATTTTTTTTCATTTATTTTGTTGGCTTTTTACATTTTATTTATTATGCAATAATAGAAAAAATAAAAAAATGTATACAATAAATGCATTTGTCAAGTGTAGTAGAATATTAAATATATGTGAAAACAATATCCAATTTGCAAGATTTTAAATGATTTCTCTAATTAATCTGTATATCCTTCTGCCAAAAAACCTCTTAAATTTTGTTTCATCGTTTTTTTTATTCTTATGATCTTTCCCTCTTTAAAAATGTTGTTTTTAACCTTTTCATGAAATAATTTTGTTAGTATTTTTTCATATGTGGATGTTATGTATGCACAAAGGAAAAATGTGTAACGTAAGTGTTTGTGAAGTCTTCGAAACTGTTTCCAAGTTTCATACAACCAACTATCTAGTATTCTAAAATCAGTTTCTCCTATTCAACAAATTCTAATATATTTGGAGTGTAACACATTTTGAGAGTTTAGTTTCATCATTTGCTTGAATAATGTTTCTTGTTCTTGAATGGAAAAAGCTTCGGAAGATATTTTGTTTCCAACTAACAATATTAGTATTGTTGATCTGTAGCTCAAGAAATTGTGAAACAGAACAAAACATAAAAAAATTCCCCAAATGAAAAAATCAGTACAATATGTTCATGAATTAACTGGCTCTTAGAATTTTGAATTGAAGAATATAATTATGGAAGGATTTTCAATCACTTCTAAACTTCTTTTGCAAAGTAGTGACTAGGGTTTAGGGACTACCTTTATCTTCTTCAAAAAAGGAAAATAAAACCAGGTTTGGTGGTACCTGCCGAAAACCGCAGTCCTTGGATGGCTCAGGCAGAGTGATCACACAGAGTTCATGGCCAAACTGGGCTACAAGAGTTAGCCTGGGCTACATAGCAAAATTCTCTCTCTCTCTCTCTCTCTCTCTCTCTCTCTCTCTCTCTCTCTCTCTCTCTCTTTCTCAAAGAAGAAATGTAAGGCTGTATGTAATGTGTAAAATTATATTGATTTCCTTATGAAAGATACTAAAAATACAAGTTCAGTAGCATTTTACTTATATTTTATGTTCTTTTTTTTTTTTTTTTTTTACTAAACTCTAGATGCTCAAACTAAATATTTTGTTAATAAAATCCAAATTTAATGCATATTTAAACATTCCCATGCCAGGAAAAGTTACAATGAAAATAATTTGTTTCCTCTTGGAAACTAAAATTGTTTAATGATACATAGTGCACACATCTATCTATCTTTAACACATTTAAATTGGTGCAGTACTTTGCATTTATTTCTTTTTCATAGATGTAACTGTCTGTTGTATATATATATAGGATCAACCTAAGGGAACCAAGAACAACCATTAATTTTATTTATGATGTCTTCACTCAACTACATTTCTAGCATGGTGCCAGAAACAAAGGTGTCATATAACGATGACAGAAAGTCAGAGAATGATTTTTATGAGAATTCAATGTCTCCTGAGTGCTTGTCCTGTTTCCTTTCTCAGAGCCGAATTCGTAGAATGTGGAATGACACAGTAAGAAAACAATCCGAATCATCCTTTATTACTGGAGATATAAACAGTTCAGCGTCACTCAACAGAGGTAATTAGAAATGAGTTTTCCCGTTATTTTTCTGATTATCTGTAGAGGTTTTTAAATGTCTTGCTTTATATGCAAGTTCTAAACCTTGTTGTATGTGATAGGATTATTGCAAGGGTATGCAACAGTTTAGTCAGTTGTGAGATCCATTACTGGTGACTTCTTTTTAACCTTGAATTTTCAGGAAATATTTTCTGAAACGAAATTAAGGCATGAAAAACTCTTTCTAGCTATCTATCGGTGCTGTAAAGTGGTGAGCTGTCAGGGCTCATTGGGAGCAGTGAAAATGGAAATTATGTGTTATATAGTCAGCTGAGCATCATAGAGTTCTGCATTGTCCCAGGTAGAAAACAATCCTGTAGCCTTTATAGAAGTGAAAATATACCTATTGACTAATACATACATAAGGCAACCAGTGCACTTGGGGACAAATCAATTCTAAAATATTTATCCAGATAATATCAGATATTTAAAGATTTAAGAAAAAAACACTCCTAAATGTAGATAGAGAGTGTGTGTGCGTGTGTGTGTCGCGCACGCGTGTGTGCTGCTGGACATTATTTTTTTGCAGTGCTCTCTAGACATAGATTTTTGAAATGAAATCCCCTTAATCTTCTGTTTTTTTCTACTGTTTGTTTTGTGGGCGAGAAGGAGGGAAAGAGGACCTGAGGAAGGGAGAGGAAGAGGGAGGCAAAAATGAAGGGAGGGATTTTACACCAGTAAAAATGTAAATTTATTAGATGCAGCATTTGGGGAGTCAGGGCTGGGAAATAAAGGTAAAGCCATTTAGAATACAGTTTTATCTGTGAACTTGGCATTTGTTTGAATTTAGTTCTTGTTAAGATCAATGTTATTTTTTTCTTCATAACTATTAGTCTCTTTTTGAGCGTTTCCTGTCTCTTTTTGTTGCACCCTATGCTATTTAAGCCCAAAAATGTAATAATTATGCCTGCTGATTAATAAAGTGTGATACATTGGTGCTCTTAAGCATTTTTACTTGAGTCCACTGCATTTTATTTATCTGTAAACAGTAAGGATAAATAGTGTTCAAACTGAATTTCATACAGAGACCCACACTTCACTATAATCTTACTGAGTTTTGTATGTCTCTTAACTCGATGTAGTTACTATGTTACTATGATTTAGTGATGATTTTAAGCTACCTACCTTTTTAGCTGTGGTGGATCACACTTGTAATCCTAGATACTTAAGAGATTGAGGTAGGGGAATCACAGATTTGAGGTCAGTTTAAGCAATTTAGCAATATCCTATTCCACAATAAAATGAGAAAGGGATGGGGGATATAGTTGAGGACTCCACTGTTTGGTTCCCCAGTAAAGCAAAAGTAATTAAATAAATTCTTTACGTCACTTTAGGTTGAAGTCAGTAATGAATGGGGATATTCCAGCAAATGTGAAGCAAAGGCATGAAAATAAAATTATTACCTTCTTATTTTGCCATTATTAGTTTCTTATTTTATAGATTGTTTCTTTAGATATACTATCTCAAGTATTTTTTAATTTAGTTTCAAAATTAATTTGTAAAAATTTTATAAATATTGGAAATATTTTTTTACTTTGCTTTCTGAATCCTAGACAGCTAATTGCTTACAAATACCTTCATATTCTTGGAACTAATTTGCTTCCAGAGTAATTTTGTTTTTCCTTTTTTCCTTATTAGAAATATCTTGAATCTCATGATTACAGCAGCCATTGATTAAGGGTTTAAAACAAAGGATAAGAAAATATGATTTTACAATGCACTGTTTATTTGCCTATTATCATAGTGAATTCAATATACACAATTATTAGTTTGTCTAATATTGTTATCAACCTTTATACAAAGAGAGTAAGGTATGTGGACGATTGGGACAGTTTGACACAAACTTAAAGAAAATAGTAGTATTTCATATTGGCCGATACTGTGTTTCAATCTGTCGATTAAGATCTTTAGTTTTAAAAGATGTTTCTTAAATAAAGGGTGTGATATTTCTGGTGACATTGAATAATTGATTTTAATGACATTGGGAAGGCATTGAATTGGATGTATAATTTAAAGTGAATCCAGGCAGTGATGCTTGTTATCAGGCTAGGTCTGCTCTCTTTCGCTTAGTGATGTTAGTGATGCTTGAAGTCAGTGCTCCTCTTCATTCCGTGTACGAATTTTCTAGCCCTGCCCAAGGTCAGAAGCTCCTGGTTTTATTCTCATCTTATTATTTTTTATCTTAGATGATTGGAGTACATTAAATTTTTATTTCTTCATATTATATCTCTGAAGATAGTCTTTAACCTCCTTCTTTAATCTTGTCTTATTTCCCAGGGTCCTATCTTCCCTGCATTCAGGCGTGTGTATCATATTTAGGTAGGTGACATCCAAGATTATCTTTCCAGATAAATGCTCAGTCACTTCAGCAACATAATTAGTTCCACTCATTCAAAAGATTATATCCTGTTACTGAAATGGAAATCTTAGGCCCTACATCTTTGCATCTTCATATATCCTAACTCCCCATTCATTCTTACAGTTAGCATTTTTTAATTCAAACTCCATTTCTTTTCTCAGTTAGATATATTAAATCTCTTATGTTACCTTTAAAATAGTGCTGAGCCTTGAAAACTACATGCTATTGTAGTAAAACTTTATTCTTTTTAATTTAGGTTTTCTTTCTTATTAATGCCATCACCCAACATATCAAAAGTATTATTTTATATTTTGTATGTCTTGTCATCTATTCTTCCAAACGAGAATCAATCATCATTATCTTCAGGATACATTTAGCATAAAGAATCTACCATACAGTGCAGAAGTCCTCCTCAATATTTTTTAACCATCTCTGATATTCTGTTCTTAAACCAATTTGTTTTCATCATACACATATGTATCAGATTACCTTTCTAGATTTCCCACTATTATAAACTTGATTGCTATTGGAGTTTTATTTATGAAATCATATGAAACATTGGAAGATTTGTTGATAATTTTCAATAAATGCACTAATTCTTATATTTCTCTTTGAGGTCACTTCATCTCTTCAAAACCTTGCATTAAATCTGTGGTTTGCATATTTGTACTTATGAAGATGTTTTCCAGAATGTTCCCTTAAACTTTCCAAATATGTTTCCCTTACCAATCTGTTTGGTATAATTGTCACACACTCACGCCAGTCTAGAATTCCTCGAAGCTAGTGATTCAACAACATAATACTGTTAGTGTGTCCAAAAGAAGAGAGGACTTGGGAAGGGATGTGAGATGGTAGTTGAATGCCGAAAGTTTAAACAAATGTTAACTCCAAACCAAATTGAGGCTTTTACAAGCTTGTAAGTCTGCATGAAGATTTATTCATTAGCTTATTTAAATATTTGCTATATTGAATATGCTTTGAAATGGTGTCAGAAACAAAGGTATCACATAACGATGACAGAAAGTAAGTTAGCTCAACCCCTAGCTTGTTCCTACCCATGTCTACTACCCATAGTCCCTACTGACTGAATATGACCTTGAACAATGTCAGTTAACAGTACTTACTAAAATGCATGACTTTGATCATGTAGCGAAGCATTTTTTGACAAATTTCTCTGACAGTTGAGTTAATTGTTAAACACTTCCAACATTTTACAAACCTGTATAGAAATTTGAATTCCTTCTGAAATTAGATTTTATTAAGCTTTATCTTACCACAAATATCAAAGCTGCATATCTCATTTCTTTTTACTTAATTAGTTACATCAAGATCAGAAGTTTTTGTTTACAGTTAACTTTTTCTAAGCAGCTTCTATCAACCTGTTATCCTTGTGTGAATTACAAAAAAGATACCTAAACCCTCACACCAGCCAAAACATGCCCCCCCTGAGTGGTAGCATTATTAAAAAAAAAAAAATTACTCCAGGACAATGGGTTGGCTACCATTGTGAGTTTTATTTCCCACTGACCTCCCATCATTTGTTTTCTCAACTTGCCATACCATTAATGCAATCTAAATTTTTATGTGTGGAGATCTAACTAGGAGGGCTATATTTATTTAAGCTTACTTGTATGTTATATATGTCAGAAGACTAATGCATGGCTGTCTAGTATTTATTTATTATTGTTGATGGAATCGCTTTTCGGGACTCAGATTTGTATCAATCTGCACACTCATTCACAATAAATTTTATGTAGTCAACAAAATTATGAAGGATTATGATGACATATTTACTTTCACAGTTTTTAAGGGTAAATTTTGGCTGTCAGCTATTGGCACAGCTACCTACTAAATGGGACCTTACCTTTTAGGATCATTGTGGTTACAAAAGAGGTGATTTTAATCATCCAATAGGCATTTTCAAATAGCCAACTTATTCACTGTAGTTTTGCATAGTGGTCTTAAGAATGGGCACTGGATTTTAATTTAGAAATTCTTGGCAAACTGGTGAGTTTCTCTGGGTCTGTGCCATAGGGATACAAATGGTACCCACTTTAGAAGGGCCTTGATAGGAATAAATAATATATGTGAATAGCTTACAATAGTGCCAAGAACATAGTAACAACTATTATTATTTGATTCAAAGGTTCACTGACATTTTCTATGAAAACTACTCAGTGTCAGTGCTTTCAAATAGTACATTTTAAAAATTAAACAATACTACCAGAGATTTCTACTCCTTTTTGCTTTCCAAAATAGGCCAGAGGAACCTGAATGCCTACCAACTCTTTGCTCAGAGTTTTTAGAACAGTTTATTGATAAAATATTTTTTCTTTAATTTTAACTTATTTTCTATTTCAGTAAAAAAAAATGAACATTTTGGTCAGGGAAGATTATGTTTTAAAAATGCGCAAATAACTTCTACAAATAATCTTCTTGTATAGAACCAAAGATATAACTCTTCACAATTTTTTTTTACTTCTTAATTTAATAATTCTTGAAGCATGTCCTCAATCAGTGCAATACTGTAATTCTAGAACAAGTAGAAAATTTGAGTTGCAGTGTCACTGATAATGTTATAAATTAAACCTTACTGCTTCAA